TTTCAAAAGCCAGTTGTCAGGTGTTCTTTATCAAAGGCTTTCAGAAAATCCAGATAAATTATGCTCTGTGCTCCGAAACTGCCAAATCTGTATTTCACTTGTACACAGAGTCTGACAGTTTTGTTGAAGTGGAATTTCCCTCCCTTCAATTTACCTTCACTTCCCTGACCTTGATACCTGCCAGACAAATGAGAGATCCTGTCCCTTTTGATGCTGGATGTTCTCAGTCACTTAGATGCCAGCTCTAGTTACAATACAGTGGGCGGTTACCTCTGTCTCTCAGATTAGGAGGAGATCCCTGATGCACCTCAAATGTAAGGGAGGAGAGAAGAGAGTTAAAGGAAAGGAAGATCGGTCCCATTGCCTCAGCAAACCTGGAGTTCTGTCTGACTCTCCTGCAGTCCCCACTGCAACGGAGGCAAGGCTAGTCACACCAGCTCTCCCCTGGAACTCACCTGGAAGACAACAGGCAGCACTTCCTACCTACTGCCCTCAATGCTATTTGAGGGCAAGGAGTTGGTGCAATGGATAAAGTACTTGCATTCCCAGGTGTGAGCACTGGGGTTAGGATTCTAAAACCTATATAGTAATGCCAGGCAGCTACAGAGGCAGTCTATAATCCCAGGGAGGAAGAAATGGGGTCCCCTAGGACTAGCAAGCCAAATCTGCGAGCTTTGGGTTCAGCAAGAGACCCTGCCTCAATGAATAAAGTGGAGAGCAATCCAGGAAGATAACAGTATTAGCCCCAGACTTGCACACTTTTTTTTCTTAGTTATTATTTGAGGCAATGGGGTGCAGCTCTGTGGTAGTGCTTTTCTAATGTGTACAACACACCACTCTCTATCCACAGCACCAAAGAGGAACAGTTCTTGTTCCTGCTCTTTGAGCACCATGCAGAGTTGAGGGTGTGGGGACGCTGCCCTTCTGTTACCTCTCAATTCTGTATCCTGGCCGGGCAACTCTGACACTTCCATCAGATAATATTTAAACCATAAGGTGATTTACCTCTGTGCTTAGAAGAAACATTCCCTTTTCTCTCCTTAAGCCTAATGGGCAATACAGTGTAATACATCCCAGGTCAACAGCATGGTCCTCTGTTATAAAACCAGGTTCATTTTAGATGGACAAACCACATATTCAGGATATGTGTATCCTGAAACAAATCTACTAACTTTCATGCTTTGAGTGCCTCATAAGTAGTAAATCATTACCTAGTTCCCCTGGAAGCTATGCAAATTAATTAATGTTTGGAAAATAACTTGAAAATTTAAATCAGTTTATAAACACCAGACAATGAAATTCTTCCTGCTGAGAGGCCCAGTAATCTACAACTTCCTATAATCAAGGTAAAAACAGTGAACTTGAACTATACAATTAAATGTGACTTATATGCAAAGCACACAATGCTTAAAATCTAGAACCCACTAAAAAAAATCAATTTCCATTTCATCACTACAGTGAGAGCATTTTTGACTCTGGGAATGGTGGTCCTCTGTGTGACTGATGGAGACATTGCACCCTTATCCTTTCTGTGGGTTTCAACAGTCTGTTCGGTGTTCATACTTAACCTGTTACTACCAACTGAAGTGCATTCCAGTTAGTGTTTATAACCTCCAGACTCTCTTATTTATTTCCTGGGTAATCTGGCTGTGCACAACTTTGCTGTATTCAAAACCTCCCATGTCAAGATTTAGTACTTTTATATTGTAGTCATTAAAATTGAACAAAATCTTAATAGTCCTTTATTAACTACTACACTGAATTTGCATTGTGGAAATCACCACATGTTAATTGGATTTAATTAACTATTTTAAATTACACGAAATTCTGACAGTAGACAGCAGCATAGGGTACTCAGGAGCAATAAAATTAGAGATGGTATTGCTACTTTATTAAAACTTAATGAAACTATTCATAATCTTATTTATTGTTCACCAGAAGAAAACTGTGTTCATTGTGAAGGCAAAATGTCAGCTAACAACATTTCTTTTTTTATTACCCAGGATAAGGTTCAGCGGTTAATAAAAGGGTCCACGATCTCCAACCTCACGGTTCTGCCATCCTCCCGTCGCACCGACCCCCATTTTATCCCCATACCCGTCTTGCAAAAGGACGCCAGTAAAGGTGAGTGACAGAGCAGCCATGCTAGGGGGGTAAAGGTGGGAGCCTTGAGGAGGAACTGAGGCCTGAGCTGGAATAGCCACTAGGTTTCTTAGGTGACCTCAGACAAGTCAGGTCCTCACCTGGGCTGGGCTTCACCCTGGACTAGCTGACCACCAGAGCCTCTTCTATGTCTCAGTCCATCATTTCATGAATTGAATATCAATTTAGGTGTTGGGATTGTGTATTAAAATGGTTATCGTGTTTACATGATATAATTAGGAGCTACTGTTTTCTAAGTAGTTTCTGACGGGCTTCTGATTGCTTTTTAATGTCATTTCAGAATATTGCTATGTAAAACCATGAAGCCAGAGATAATATGATTAGTGTTTTTTTTTAATTTTTATTAATCATTTTATATGTATGAGTGTTTTACCTGGACATGTAGTATGCCTGTACTCCATATGCATGGCTGGGGCCCGATGAGGCCAGAAGAGGGTTCTGGGAATCCTGGAACTGGAGTCCAGGTGGTTGTGAGTGCCGTGTGGTGCTGGGAACTGAGCCTGAGTCCTCCGAGACAGCTCTCCAGCCCCTTTAAAGTCTAGTGTTATAAGCTATTGGACTTCTAATTAAAAAAAAAAAAGACTCTATCATCTTTACCTTGGTATCCATGGTGCCCAGTACTCTCTGGGAAACTGTGAATTGACTGAATAAGTAAACGGATGAGGATTGGGGTCTCTGTCTACTGTAATCTTCTTAGTCTCCCTCCCCTTGCTCAGTTGATTGACTGAAACGTTAAAGAATGGCTAATGACTCCCCTCTCCTAACTCAAAATATAAAGGAGGAAGATGGTCTTACCTCACTTCCTGTCTGACTGGAGTAATCAGGACCCAGAGTTGGTTCTAAACCATTCTCGTGATACCGGAGATTCAAAGTCCTCTGGCATCTAGCTAGCTCTGTGTCTTGTCTGCTGACCTGTGTTTGCTGTGGTGAATGCCCCTGCGTATACTGTCTCTGAATTTGTTACACTTCCCACAGTTGTTACTTCTTTTCAATCTGTGAGAAGTTCCCTGACTTACAGTTTCCAGTAGCTTTTGTACCACTAATGTCCTGGGACACTAAGTAACACTAAGTGTTCCAGGAACACTAAGTAACACTAGTAAGTCTGTGTTTCTTGCGTCAGCATCATCTTCCTCCTACATGAGATTAGGACGAGTGAATGAATCAGTCCTTGCTTTAGCAGATGACAATCACTGTAAGACGAAGGTAAATCTAGGATCAAGGCAGCTAGTGCAGAGGGAGAGAAATCACCAGAGAACACATGGCGTATCATATTTGTATTTACTCAGTCAATTAGCTCTCATGTATTTATGGAGTACTTGTCGGATGTCCGGTTACTGTACAAGGTAATATTAGTGTCAGGAAAGCAAAAGTCACAGAAATGTGTGGATTCTCAGGGGGTTTGATGCTGTTGAGTGACATCTAAGACCCACTCCAGGTCTGTACAAGTTCAGCATGAGAGATGAACAGCATCCGAATCAACAGGATTCCTCAGGGTTTCTTGAATTATCTGACAAGATCTCAGAAATGAAGCTCCCCACAGAGTCAGTGGTCGAGAATTCACGTGTCGTAGCGCACCGACCCGAGTCTAGCCTGCTTCCCTGGAAAGCATGCATGGCTCTTACACGTGGGTTTGGGTATGCACAGTAAAAGATATTTATGAAAACAAAGCATTTACTACTGTAACATACAGAGCTCGTTCAGTCCTAGTGAAACCTGACTGATCTCAGAGGCTTAAAGCTGTGACTGGAGCGCTGCTCGGCCCCGACATCAGGGCACAGACATGTCTTGTGGGAGCTTCAAGACTTCAGATCCTCATGCTCTGAGCTTGACCATTTGGGCAGGTCTGGGCCAAAGATTGTAACCCTTCATCTACAATAAGAAAAAAAGATCCTCCCAGAAATGATTGTGCTGTATGCAAATGAGGCTTCTCTTGGAATGAGATGCAAAGTCTCAAGTCTTCTTAGGAGTGCCAATTTCTTCAACTTAGTCCATCTTGGTTTTAGTTTATGTACTAGGAATTTATTGAAATAGAAAGTTCTTCACTTTTTTCTCTATTGGATAAGAGCATAAGAACCTTAAGCCCCAACAGAAATGTGTTGCGGGTTCCTGGGTTTCTGACATCAAAACAGTAGACAACAGACACGCACTGTAAGGGAAGGTCTGTCCCTAACATGGGGCTTTGTGTAATTATTCACCTGTTTATCCCATTAACAATGTGTCTTGCTCTTAAGAAGACTTTGTTGCACCCTTGATGATGACAAGAAATTGTACACCAGTCTCATGAATTACTAACATGTTGCTCTAATCCAGCCTGGCTTTCATAACATCTGGTGATATGAGCATGTCTACAGATAATTTTTTAACAAAATGTGTGTGATTAGAACACTGGGTATATGTGTTCAAGTACACAGGTTTTCTTTCCTTCAGAACAAAAGAATGCCTTAGTTATTAAGAATGTGTGCCTCATATCCATGAATTTCAAAAAGTACAGTAAAATCACCAATGATGGAAAACGCCCTAAGTGTAAGGAAGTTTCAGTTTGTCTTGAAATTATATTTCTACCTAAAAATGACATTATCTTAGTGCAATTTGATTTCATATTACTGCAATTGGAAATGATTTCTCCCTTGGGTTAGTGTATTAAGCTTTAAGTGTGCTATAGCTATTTTTCATGGAGAAGATTAAGGCACTAGAATGTCCCTTTACAAACGAGACGATAAATGATGTCACCTTACCGTTGTGTCACCTGACTGTCGTGCAGCTCAGACTTTGTACAGTTGCTTAGAGTCAAACTCACGGTTTGTTGTGTGTTAACCTTCCTCTTAGGGATCTTAAGCATGATTGAACGAGGGCTGATCCCCCCAACAGCGAGGATTACCTTTCAGAATCCACCTATTAAACCCCAAGCAATTCCTCTGCATAATTTTGATGAGCATCGTAAGGTATCAGTAGAAGGTAAGACACTCACACCTCTGTGCTTAGCTGGGATCCTGCAGGAAAGGCCTCCCCTTCAAAACCTAGACTGCTAGACCTTTAATCCTCCGTTATAGAACTGGATGAGAGGTTAAAGCATCCTGAGTTTATCTGAGCACACAAAGCAACTGAGGCTCTCCATGCAGAGCCTGTGCGCTCTGTGTTAGAACGTTGGTATTTTCAAGGGCTTGTAGCTGGTTGGGGAAACAAGACAAAAATAGTAAAGAACTAAAAATTAAAATCAGAGCACTAAAATTGAAATGCGCTCTATTGTTTGCTGTTTGAGTGTCCTTTTAGGATGTGATTGAAAGCCCTCACTTCTTAATTAGACTTGTCTTCTTGTTTTTAGTGAGGGTATTACTTGTACATTGGCAATACAAATCTTTTATCAGCTATGTGTGTTGAAAATATTTTTTTTTTTACTCCGGCTGAACATTTTTTTCTTATAGTGCCTTCTTAAAATTAAACTTTTCATATTGAGATAATTGTAGATTTACATGTGTTTGTAAGAACTAATAGAATTCTTTGCATAGTTTCCCCCAGTATTAACAAAGCAGGATATTATAACATGGTATCATCATCAGGGCGTACTGAGGATAAGACAGGGCCTTGCCCATGGTAGACAAGCACTCGTCCACTGAGGTATATGCTAGTCCCCATCCAGGATACTGATGCATTCAAGACTGGACTATTTCTATCACCACGTGGATAGAGCCCCACCAACTTCCTTCCATATCCCTTCAGTCCCTGACATCCAAAAATCTGTTCTTCCTTGTATAACTTTGTAAATTCAAAACTGTCACGTGAATGACAGGACGGAACCTTTGGGCTTTGTATTTTTCCACTCAGGACAATCTCCCAGCCTGTGGCTTTTGTTGTTGTTGTTGTTACATGCTGACATTTCCATGCATGCATACAACATACTTCGGTCATATACACCTCTGTTATCGCTCTTTTGTCTCCCCATGCCCTGCCCTTACCCCTTCCTTTTCCATGCCAATAGTTAATTCCCTTTGATCTTTCATATCCTCTCCCTATCCTGGCTTCTCCTACATATGAGAAAAATAGGAAATCCTTATCGCTATAGGAAATAAGCTGGTCCCATTAATCTTCTAGCAAAAGGTGTAATTTTATTCTCCTTTATGTCTTTGTAGGACCAGTGTGTGTGTGTGTGTGTGTGTGTGTGTGTGTGTGTATTTAAATCTATTATCTCTTAATAGGCAGCTACATCTCTAGTAAACTGATTCTGAGCCCTTTGTTTATACATGAAGAAGTGATATGGCTGAATCATATGGAACTTGTGTTTAATTTTTTTTTGAGGAATTCCACACTAATTTCTATAGTGTCTGGCCTAATTTATATCCCCGCTGTTGTGAATAGATGCTCCTTTTTCCTCGCTGCATCCTCCACGGGGACTGTGGAGTGACTCACTGTGAGTCACTGAGCATCCGTTCCTATAGTTACAGGCCACTGGTACTTGACTGGAAACACTCTCCTCAGCTCAATTCCTCATCATTTTGCCTGAGTATTTCCTCCTTTGTTGTCAATCTTTTGAGTTCCTTATACACTCTAAACATGAACCTCCTATTGGATGAGCAGCCATGGATCTTACCCTATTCCGTAAAGTGTCTCTTCACTGTGGATTGTTTCTTTTGCAGTGAGAAAGCTTTGTAACTTCATATAATCCCATTTGTCATGCTTTAATAGTATTTCTTGAAATATTAGCTGTTGAGAAAGCTCTTGCCCACGCCTAGGTCTTGAGTGTTTTCCTGGTTTCCTCAGGCAGGTTCAAAGTCTCAGGCACGTTAAGGTCTTTGATCCATTTTGGTTTAGTTTTCGTACAGTGTGAGAGGTAGGGATTTAGTTTCAGTCTTCTTATGTAGATATCCAGTGTTCCCTCCACCATCTGGAAAGCAGACCATCTTTTCTCCAGTGCTTGTTTTCGTATCTTTGTTAAGAATCAAATGGTTGCTTCTGCTTGGGCTTATTTCTAGTTCTTCTATTATGTCTTTTAAAATTCTATGTATGTGTGCATGGTGTGCATATATGTTTTGTGTTTAAAATTCTATGTATGTGTGCACAGTGTGCATATATGTTTTGTGTTTGGGGGGCACATGTGTATGCAGGTGCACATGTTTATATGCAAAGTCCACTTTATTTGCTGAGGCAGGGTCTCTCACTGAACACAGAGCTACATGATTCCAGTGAGTCTATCTGGCCACCTTGCTCAGGAGAGCTGCCATCTCTGTATCTTGAGTCCTGGGATTATGGGTGGCCACCATGCCTCCCTGATTTGTATGAGTTCTAAGGATATGAACTCCCCTCTCCTGCTTGCTGAGCAAGTGTTTTTCTTTTTTCTCCCCACAGAACTATGTTCTCAGTTTCTGTGTCTGCTTTTCGATGGTGGAATGCTGTTTTAGTTACTGTGCTTCTGGAGTATAGTTTGAAGTCAAGTATTATGATAATTCTACAACTGGTAGTTTTGCTTAAATTTTTTTTAGGGTTCTTTTATGCTTTTATATGCATTTTAGGTATACATATACCTACTTCTGTGACGAATGTTATTGTAATTGTTTTCCATTTTTTATTTTCTATTATTTTATCTTTTAACTTTTTAATTGATTCTTTGTGAATTTTACATCATGCACCCCAATCCTACTTATCTTCCTGTTCCTTCATATCTAATGTCTGCACTTACAACTTCCCTCCAAAAAGAAAATAAAAATAAGAGACAAGCAAACATAAAACAAAACAAAACAAAACAACAACAAAAATATCTTGTCCACTTATCAGTGAGTGCATAGCACGTGTCTTGTTTTGTGACTGAAGTACCTCACTCAGGATGATATTTTCAAGTTCCATTCATTTGCCTGCGAATTTTATGATGTCTTTGTTTTTAATAGCTGAGTAGTACTCCATTGTGTAAATGTACCACATTTTCTGTATCCATTCCTCTGTTGAGGGACATCTGGATTCTTTCCAGCTTCTGGCTATTATAAATAAGACTGCTACGAACATAGTGGAGCCTGTGTCCATATTACATGTTGGAGCATCTTCTGGGTCAAGAGTGCTATAGCTGGGTCCTTAGGTAATACTATGTCCAATTTTCTGAGGAACCACTGGACTGATTTCTAGAGTGGTTGTACCAGCTTGCAATCCCACCAACAATGGAGGAGTGTTCCTCTTTCTCTCAAAAGTTCAGAATTCCCAAGATTCAATTCACAGATCATATGAAGCCCAAGAAGAAGGAAGACCAAAGTGTGGCTGTTCAGTGCTTCTCAGAAGGAGGAACAAAACACCCTCAGGAGGAAAGACGGAGACAAAGAGTGGAGCAGAGACTGAAGGAGCGGCCGTCCGGAGACTGCCCCACCTGGGATCCATCTAAACCGACACCAAACGGACGCTCCTGCTTGCCGACAGGAGCCTGATATGGCTGTCCCCTGAGAGACTCGCCAGAGACTGACAAATACAGAGGCGGATGCTCGCAGCCAACCGTTGGACTGAGCGCAGGGTCCCAGACTGAGGAGTTGGAGAAGGGACTGAAGGAGCTTGAGGGGGTTTGCACCCCATGTGGGGAGCAACAGTGTCAACCAGCCAGACCCCCCAGAGCTCCGGGGGACTGGACCACCAACCAAAGAGTACACATGGAGGGACCCATGGCTCTGGCCGAATATGTGGCAGAGGATGGCCTTGTTGGACATCAGTGGGAGGAGCAGCCCTTGGGCCTGAGGGTGTTCGATGCCCCAGTGTGGGGGAATGCCAGGGCAGGAAGGCAGGAATGGGTGGGTGGGTGGGGAGCACCCTCACAGAAGCAGAGGGAGAGAGGATGGGATAGGGGGTTTCCGAAGGGGAGACCTGGAAAGGGGAGAACATTTGAAATGTAAATAAAGAAAATATCCAATTTTAAAATGTATAATTTCAAAAGAAAAAAAGAAAAATCATCTTGTCGTGGAAGCTACAGTGTGTCACACAGTGTACCCTTTAGTCTATACATCATTACTTGGAAATGTTCATTGTACTGAGCCACTGGTCTGGCCTCTGCTATACCATCTACACTGGATCCTCACGAGGACTCCTCTCAGATCTCCTGCTGTTGCCCTGTGTCGTGGAGATCCAGAAGCCAGGACTGGACTGCTCATGCACTCCAGCACCAACTCAAAGCCCTGCATCTGGGCCTCGGTGATAGCTGAGTTGGTCAGCTCACCGGCTCTCCAGCACGCACCACCAGAGCAAACGCTCCAGCACTGCCCCTGTTAACTTACCGGAGTGCCACGTTCTGCAGGAGGTGGGGCCAGCTCTCCCATGCCCATGTCCTTGGAGCTGGCGCACCAGTGTCCACCACCAGGGCCAGCTCTGCTGTGCTGCCCAGGTGAGGTGCAGGGCCTGCTCTCCCAAGTACACAGCTGGTGAGGGGTGGAGCCAGCGCTGCACAGCTCCTGGACATCAGCACGGTTCCATGCGATAGCCCAGACCAGGAATGTCCAAATGGCCTTTGGTGGTAATATGGGCCATAGACGTCAACACAGACCCTCCTACTTCTCACGGCTACAGATGCAGACATGGCTCTCGGCAGCAGCAGCAGCTGGGATGTCACCGTGGCCTCAGTGGCACCACAGCTGGGATGTCACCGCGGCCTCAGTGGCAGCGCAGGCTCCTCACATCAGACTGTTCTCTCCATCTTCACGTCCCCAGTTCCACTTCTCTTCCTAGTACTCAAACCTGTCTGCTGCTCCTTCTCTCCCATCTCTCTGCCACATGCTTGCACACTGTAGTGGCTCCCACGGGGCCTCTACGTTACTGGAACTTTGATGGAGATTGTACTGGATCCATAAATCACTCTGGTAATATGGCCATTTTAACGATGTTAGTTCTGCTGGGTTTTGTTTTGTTTTGTTTTGACTAGTATAAATGGAAATGGTCCTCTGACTTCTTTTTTTCAATGATCTGTTGTTGGGACATGGAAAAGCTACTGGATTATGTATGTTGATTTAGTAGTTTTCTACTTGTTGAAAGTTTTTTTCAGAAAAAGAATCTTCTGGTAGACTCTTTTAAGTATATGGTCATATCTGAAATTATTTTATTTTCTTCATTTCCTGATAGCATCTCTTTCTTTCTTTCTCTTGCCTTTCTGCTCTGGATAAGAATGCAAACACTACATAGAGTGAGAAAGGGGAGAGTCGGCTCCTGTCTCGTCTCTGACTTCGAGTTTTCTCCTATTCCGTGTAGCATTCGGCTATATGTAGCCTCCTATAGATTCCCTATATGTAGCCTCCATTTTGTTGAGGTAAGATCACTTTTCCTAGTTTCTTCAGAGCTTTTACCATGAAAAGATGTTGAACTTTGTCAGAAGCCTTTTCTGTATGTATTGAGATAGCTATAGGATTTTTATCTGATTCTGTGTCTGTGCAGTGTTACAGTTATTATATGCATATGTTAAGCCATGTTTGCACCCCTGGGAGGACTCTGACTTGATCATGGTATGGGTTCTTTTTAAAGTGTTGTTGGATTCAGTTGAAACTTATAGCAATAATTGCCCATTTACTGCCAAGTAATCCTTCATGTTAGCATGCTACAGCCATGGCCTGTCAAAGGATGGGGCTGTTTCAAGCTCTCCCCCATTATGAGACACCTGTGCAAACATTAATGTGCAGGTATTGTATGGCGCATGCACTCTTATCTCTAGAGAGACTGCCTGGGCGTGTGACTGCTGGATCTTACCGGACTTTCATGTCTGCTTCAGCCACTCACAGTTACATCCAGACCAGGAAGTGGTTTGGGTTCAACCATCAAAGATAATTTTTAGATGCAAAAGGAAAAGGAATGTCTCTTACTTGTGCTGATATTCATTCTCTGTGTCCTTTGCTTTCTCATGTTCCATGTGTTCCTTCAGTATTCCCTTCCTGTGTAGTTCTTCTAGACTCTGGATACGAGTGATACAGTGTTTTGATTTTCTTTCATCTGGGAATGGGTTGAGTTCCCATCTTTTTTCCTAAAAAAATTTTCTTTAAAACTGCTGATTAAAAATGTGATTATTTGTAGTTTTTAATGTGCATTGGTGTGTGTGTGTGTGTGTGTGTGTGTGTGTGTGTGTGTGTTTCAGTCGATCCTTTATCCCCTAGAACTGAAGTTACAGACAGTTGTGAGCTACCAAGTGCATGCTAGGAATTGGGTCCTCTGGAAGAGCAGCCAGTGCTCCCAGCCGCTGGACCATCCTATGCAGCCATTATCTCTCCTCTGTAGTCTCCTTCTGTATCTTCTCTCCCTTTGGAAAGCAATGGCGTAGATGCAGGCTCTCTCATGTGGTCCCACGGGTCTTTGGGCTCTGCTCACTTCTGTTCACTCTGCCTTGAGTTCTCAGGTTGGGTGATCTCTGTTATAGCTTCCAAATCACTGATTCCTTCGTCTGTGTCTTTGAACTTAGGTTATTGAATTTTTAACTTTTTCCATTTTCTTTTCATACATTCTAATTCTTTGTAGAGATTTTGTATGTGTTTTATTTGTTTTATGTGTGTAATTGCTTACAGGTACATTTTTATGAAGGATGTTTCATGATGTATGATTGTTTTAATGTTCATGTATAATTTTTGATCTTATGTGATACTGACCTAAGCTCCTCCCTCATAATGTTTTTCTCACATTTTTATTTAGCAGATACATAAAATGTGACATGTTAATGGACAGTGTTATATTTTGATACATATATGCATTACATAATGTTTAGTGTATACATAAATGTTACATGTTAATGGACAGTGTTATATTTTGATACATTTATGCATTACATAATGTTTAGCAGATACATAAATGCTACATGTTAATGGACAGTGTTATATTTTGATACATTGAACGTTGGACATTGAACACATTTGTCTCCCCAAACATTTCTCATTTCTATGTGATAAGGACTTTTAAATTACTTTCCTGTAGACCTTCAACATATCTGGAATACTATTGTCTACTCTCACTTTACTGTCTGAAATAGCCCAGCAAAACTTACTCTTCTTAACCAACTCTGTGCTGACCAATTTCCTACCAACTTGACACAGGCTAGAATTATTTGGGAAAGGGGCCCCTCAATTGAGACAATATCTTCATAAGATTTGCCTGTGGGGCAAGTCTGTGGGGCACTGTTTTGATTAGTGGTTGATGCGGAAAGGCCCAGACCATTGTCAGTCTGCATCCTAAGCAGGTGAACCCATATCAAAAACCAGGCTGAGCAAGCCTTGGGGAGCAAGCCAGTGAGCAGCACTCCTCCATGGTGGTAGGAAAATGGTGGTGGTGGGCATGTTTTCCCTTAATCTATCAGGCGACATGACAGCCACAAGGAAGGCAGGGAACGTGACCATCCAGGGATAGGATCAATGTTCTTATTTAGACACGCTTAGACTGAATACTTAGCACGTTGACTGTGCTCGGTCGGTCCATTGATAAGCATCTCTCCTTTCCTAGCCACCTAAATATAGTTAACGATTGAGACACTTAAAGCGACTGTCCAAAATTAACCTTTTAAACTGGTGAATCTAGATTCAAGACATCCGTCCTATGATGAGACAGAGGTGGGCTGCAGAGTCCAAAGTGAGCAACAGTAGAGTGCAGAGGTCAAGGCAATGCATCTCAGGCTTATTTTGAGGTTGGTGGGTACTGTGGTGTGCTGGACAGCATAATTGTGAACTGACACAGGGAGACTTGCTAGAAGCCAGGGGAACCAGAGAATGCGTTAGACTAGGCAAGATGCAACAGACAAATCCCTTGTGTGGGAGGGTATGATGCTCTGAAATTCTTGCTACTTTTAAAATGACACTTGAAAAGATTCCTCATAGCCCAACTCCAGGCTGAGAAACCGAGTCCCCAGTGAGCGAAGCTGTACTTTGCTATCATTTATTAAGTGTTGTTCAATGTCGGCTGGATTTTCAAAGACTGTGGTTATAGAACTGACAGAAGAGAGGGTTGAGTTGGAGGACCTGGGATGGAAGAAGGCCCACTTGTTTGGATTTAACCGTTTAAGTAAATCATTTTCTTGGTAAGAATAATGACAGGGTGTTGTTCTCCCCTAGAACGCCGGGCCTGAGCTATCTGCAAAGCGTAGCTGAGTCTGCTGCCAGGCAGCAGGACAGATATGACTGAGTGTTATTGCCTATAGGTTAAGTAATCTCAAAAATAATCTTTATGGTGTCATCCACCATATCAGTTCTCCCGAGTCAGTTTAATTTTTAGCCATATTTTTAATAGCTACCCAATAAAATAATCCATCATATGCAACTATATTAATTATCTTGCACATAAACGTGGGAATCTGGCTAATTAAGAGAGTCTTCTTTCAAGAGACAGATTTTTCTCTCTACTCTTCCTGCCTTTTAGATCTAGCTTTCCTCTAGGCATTTTGTACAAGGTGGGCTGACCTTGTGTTCTAAAGAAGTCGTTGCCTGATCATAGACTTCGCTTTGGAGACGAGAATCCCAGCGGTGTCGCAGAATGGGTACAGGAAATGCAGGTAGTAAGCATACAGTAGATGCCGGCCATCTGCCTTTCAAGCTCAGCCCCATAGGATGCACAGGTGGCTCAGCCTGTCTCTCTGGAAGGAGTAATGTGGTCCTGCCTCTGTCCACAGCCTCCTTTCCTCTCGCTCACAAGCCACGCCCGGTTCCAGAAGTGGAGGAGCCTTACCAGAAACCAAAAGCCAAGGTATTCGTATGTCTAATACAGAAGAAGGCACGCTGCCTGTGTGATTCTGTGTAACACACACTGTAGAGTTGGTCCTCTCACACGGAGTAAGCATTATTTCCGCAGCTCTGAGGGAGCTTTTTATCTTATTATGGTTGTTATTAGTCTCTGTGGTGTTATGGGTCAAATGCAGGGCCTCCCATATACTAGGCAAGAGCTCACCACTGAACTACACAGTCAGCTTCTGCTTTAAAAGGGAGAACGAATGCACAAGTCAACTCTGCAGGACCCTGTAGGCAGGGCCTACGATGAGCAGAGCCAGTGCCTTCTTTGAGATTTGCAGCAAGCGGTCAGTCTGTGCGAGCAGCTGCTCAGAGACCAGGAGTCTGGGGAACAGTAATCCACATCTCCATCTGTAGTGAACACGGTGGGTTACTGAGAGGCGTTTGCCATATCTCGTTTGTCCTCCAGGTTTTCACAGAAACCCACATGGAGACAAGGACAGAGACTGTATTCTCTAACATTAGCCCCCACATGACAGTGTAATCCACTCCCCTGAAGATGTCCCCAGTTTAAAGGGGCTGGGCTTTTTTTTTGTGTGTGTAGGTTGTTTTCTCATTTTAAGGATCACTGACAGATTTAGGATGATTAAAACTTTTCTCCATCAAAAGGAGACATCTGACAGTACTTGTGTAGTCATGTTTTAAGCTGTTCTCATGAAAAACAGGAAGGGATTAGAAGTGACTGCAGGGAAACGAACCCCTCTCTCTCAGAGGAGGCTGCTACCTGTCCTCCCTGCCTGTGGTGCCCAGACATCCTCCGGAGGAGCTAGGTGCCTTTTCTACATTGGTGGCCATTTCCCCTTAAGAGATTGCCAGGCTGCTTATGGAATAGCATGTCATGTGACAACCCAGTTGCCATGGCAAATATTTGTGTTTCATGAAGAACGTGGGTTTAAAAAAAAAATCGATGCAAATGGCCAAATCCCAAGACAGCCAGGCCTTCAGGCGGCGCTTGGCCCGCACCGTTATTGTTTCAGATTCAGCTGTTTAACAGGCTGTGAGCGGCCCATGGGCTAATAGTGTGCATAATGTCTCTAGGCCCGGGCACCTGTTTAGATTCTCACTCCGAGTACGCAGCTCTGTTCTATACGGAACAAATCTACAGGTAACACACATATCATATCATAGTGAGTTTTTAGCCAGTAAGCAGTTTGCCTCAAAAAAAAAAAAAAAAAAAGATGATGTCTTTTCTAAATGCTGATTAGCACTGGCATTATTCTGGTGACTTGCAAAGGCTTCCCCTACTGTTAAAAGTAGTAAGATTTAAAGGCTGTGGCTTCAGGTTGGTGCATTTCCAAACTGACCCCTTAATAGCGGTATAGTAAACTGGGCATGGATGTTAAAGGTGAAGAGGAAAGCAGAGTGCCGAGCTCCATATCGGAGCTGTTGCAGACCCTCGGCCAGGCTCCCGGCCCAGGCACCATGCCACAGTCAAGCCCCTTTGGACGAAGGCCTCTTGGAGTGCTGCACCCTGGAAGTGGGACCCAGCATCTGATTATAACTGTGTTTGTAAACCTTTACTTTCTCAAAGCCTTTCCTCAAAGCAAAGTGGGGCTTGGCGTACACAGCGTTGATGTCTGGGTGTGGGAAAAGTCTTCTAATTGTTAGCTCCTGCCCATGTGGGTAGGGAACAGCGGGCCGGTGGGGGAAGGGAAGGAAGGCAAGGGGTGACCAGGGCTCTGGGCCTTCTATTTGCTTTGTAAAACTGCCTGTGACAGTTATTTTAATTTCAACTGTGTCTCATTCTTCATTGTAGGGGAAAGTCAAAAGGTCAAGAGGACAGCCCAGTAGGAAGGTCTGTAATTTGTGTGACTAGTTGGAATTTGGGATTTGTCACCTGATGTCCCTTTCTTTTGCTTCAGGGCAAAAGTATGGGAGGCCGCTTGACAGCCGGAGTTGGCAACAAAAGTTCTTTTGCGCTTCCCTTCTTTATAAAAGAAATTAGACCATGGTTAAAAAAAATTTGTGGTTTTCGGAAAGTGAAAAACATTTCTTTGCTGTCTATGAGGACTGAATCATGTCGCTGTCCAAACAAATGATGTCTCGTCCTCAAAATGAGGCTGAATTGTATGTTTTTAGCATGAAAGATTTTCATTTAAGAGAATATTTACAAGGAAGCAAGATGTTAAAAATGAACGTAGTAGCTTACTGGCATTTGCTGACGTGTGTACACACGGACATTTGTACTTACACAAACATGTATGAAGGGGTGTGTACGCGTACTACTGCACTTGTAAAGTAGGATGGGGAGAGAGAATTTAAAGTTAAACTGTTTGTGACAACCAAGGCAATAACAACAACAACCAAAAAAAAAATATATGGAAAAGTGAAACCGTCCCCACAGTATGGAGCACACTCCTGTGAGCTCTGTTCCAGCAGGGCCGTGCACTAGCAGGAAAACCAACCCTGCACTTGAAATATGCTGTGCTTCCTGGCATCCAGGAGTGCCTCCTTTCAAGGAGGGAGCCGTCTTCTCCCGGTTCCCAGTGCTGGTGCAGGAAGGCTGGATCTGCAACAGTGGCTGCAGACAGACAGTCCTTCTCACCCAGACATACTGCTCCCGGCTTTGATGCAGTAGCAGGAGCTCTCAGTGTGTAGACATGGTCAGCTCTACTCTGTACCTAGAAAAGAGAACGCACATGAAGAACCCCAGAGCTTTATTTATCTAGAACACTTGGAAACCACTCACGTGGCTTCAGCGCGTCCTGTGCACATGGCCCAATGTGCCTCCTATGTCCACTGAACCCTGGGGATGACAGAAGAATGTCTGCTGTCACTGCCCCTGGCCAGCCAGAGACAAAGGGCAGTATGAGGCCTATATCCCAGGTTAGCCCTTTCCTAGGGGCCAGTCTTCCAGATATTACTAGTAGTGTAACTGCAGTGCTAACCTCACTGGTGCCGGCTCTGTGCTGGTCTCTGGTGCTGACCTTCGGGGGGCTGCCTCCCCTGTGTTCACATCTCCAGACGGTAGGTGCTGTTATTCCCATCTGCCTAGGAGGAATTAGACAGAGAGAGATAAGTCATCCAAGGTAGATGACAGAGCTGGTACAGGGAAGTGATTGTTTGATTGTTTGACTCCCAAACCCCAGAGCATGAGAAACCTACAAATGTCAGTCATTCACATTGATAATCCTTCTAAAATGTAATCACATGTCTCCTAACCAGTGTACTTTGTCCTTCCAGTGCCAAATGCTTAAGCGATACGTTTGTCTTTGCTTCCTTCCTTATCCGATAGCAGGTGTCCTGTCTGCTGTCCTGTCTGCTTTTGTCAGCTTCAATCTAGATAGCCTGCTCTGTTTTCTAGATACATTAAACAGATAGTCAAAGACTGCTGGGCGTGGTGAGGCGTGTCTGTAATCCCAGCATTAGGGAAGCTGGGGTGACGGTGATTTGTTTCTTCATCATGTGTATAGTGTTAGTTTCTTTAGTATCTTTCCAGTATAATCTGATCTTCTCAGTGGAAACTTAATATTTTATGGATACATTGGCTGTCAACTTTTTTGTCAGACAACCTGGGCAGCATTGACCTTTTCGCTGCTTTGATCTGTCCCCATTTTCTTTTATGTATATAATATATTATATTGAATATATAATTATTTTGTATTTAATATATTTATATATTTATTTAAAAATTTTAAATTAAAATAAGATATTTTAATTAATATTTTAATTTAAAGTTTAAATGTAAGTATTTTATATAATTATTTAAAATATATAAATATATTATATATGTAAAAGGAAATGAGAACAGATCAAAGCAGTGGCAGTTCAATGCTGCCCAAGTTGTCTAATATGGAGATATATCTATATATCTATATCTATATCTATATCTATATCTATATCTATATCTATATATATCTATATATCTATATCTATGTCTATGTCTATGTCTATGTCTATGTCTATGTCTATATCTATATCTATCTATATCTATATCTATGTCTATATATATCTATATCTATATCGATATCGATATAGATATCGATATAGATATCGATATCGATATCGATATAGATATCGATATAGATATATAGATATATATTCAAAAGCCAGTTAATGTTTGCCTGTCTTCCCCTCTGCCTCTCCGTCTGTCTATCTCTCTGCCTCTCTGTCTATCTCTCTGCCTGTCTGTCTGTCTGTCTCACTACCTTTCTGTCTCTCTTTCTATCACTGCCTCTCTGTCTCCTTGTCTCTTTTCGCTCTTCTCTGACTCCCCGTGTTTCTGTCTCTTTATCTCCCTGTCTGTCTGCCAGTCCGTCCCTCTGTGTGCGTGTGTCTCTCTCTTATCTCTGTCTCCCTGTCTCTCTGCCTCTCTGCCTATCTCTCTGCTTCTCTCTCATAACAGTTTATTTAAGTAAGGTGAGGGGAGGGGCGGAGTCCCTAACAGGAGACTGCAGAATCTTTTAGAAGTTGTTTTAATTTCCCCTTATAAATTGTTCCTCCCACCTAAGCATTTTGGCATTAAGCTTTCAAGTAACCTTAATTCTGTGCTTTTACTTGAAAAGTATTTTTTCATGGAGGAAGTAATTGGCAAAACAAGGAACTGTACAGGTTTTTTCCATAATCTTGTTCAGATCGCCTGGATATTTATTGCTTGTGAATAATCTCATTCATACAGATCAGAGAAGGCATTAACTTATCAGCAATTAACAAAGTCATATTTATTTTTCCCTTGTCTATTTCACTTAACACACTTTAATGATTACTCATGAAAAAATAAAGTCCAGAAAGGAGAAAAATGCAAAATATGGGAGAATCTGGTGACATCCGAGTCCCTTGGCACCGTGTAAGCCTTGGCACGTTTCCGTGTTCCCATCAGACCGTACTGTGTCTTTAACTTTGATTTTATGTTAATATTTTTATCACAAGCTTGTACAAATGTTATTAAAATCTCACTATATAATATTTTGTACTTAAAGATATCCTATAATATTAATAGCCATTATCATGTTGTTCAATATTAAATTATAAATCTTACCTGATGACAGGACAGCTTTGTGCTATAAACTTAGTCCAGGTGGCTCTGAAGATAAACTTAATGTTGACCCGCAGTGGCTCCTCACTGACTTTCCCTCATGCATTAGACAGTCGACCACGGTGACAGCCAACGCAGCAGTGACTGAGACAGACAGAATCCTCGCCCTCCTGAGACATCCTAGTTACTGAGGAAAACAGATGATAGACATCTACTGCAATATCCTAGAATGGTCCATGCTTAGGGAAAAGAAAGCAGAATACTCCCAGAAAATGTGCCTGAATAGAGCATCGTAAGACTAAGTGTTCTTCAGTGATCTGTGATAGCAGACTTTCCTGAGGAAACATGGAAAGCCAAGCTTCCCTTGGGTAGCAATGGTGATCCTGTAAAGCCCAGCTTTCCCCTGTCTCTGCTGGGGGGCCGGGGGACGGAGCTGCTGTTCACCCCCAGCTGGCTGTGCTTCCTGTGCGTATCCCCAGCAGGCTTAACTCATCCATCACCATCGTCCCAAGTGGTCCTTAACTGTGCCACACTTTCTGAGAGTATTTGAAGGGTATCAAAAAAGCTGAAATCAATGCTGTCGTGAAGTAAAGTGTGCCTCTGGAAAAGGGAATTTCACATTTGACTGAAAACAGACCCCATCTATTTAAAATGCCTCCCTGGACCTTTCATATGGATTTGATGGACTGGGTGTTTTGTTCCAGGAGGGCTCACCTAAGAATGGGGACTTCTCTTCAGGCTGGGTTTCAGAGCTGAGGAAGACCTATTTGAGTACAGAACCTTTGAAAGGACTTGCTGGAATTATTCTAGAAAACTGCTGCCGATCTAAGGCCTTTGCCCTCAGTTCCTCTCCATCTGTGTCTCTGCTCACGCATTCCTCTCTGCCTTTTCGCCCCTTTGCACGGGCTGTACACTCTGACACAGGTCTTCGGGAGCTGTGTCTCACCGTCTAAGGGACTGTCGTGCTCACGCACACACATCAGAATTCTTACTCTTGAGTTTTCTCAATCCTGCACAGCAGATGGTATGAGTAATTTGTCACCCATTTTTGGTAGGAAGTTGCTACAAATAGTTTTCTGTATTAAAAATGGAAAAGAAAAATCTCCCAGGTCTTTTTTTGTGGTCAGAAAGTGCTAGCAAAGGTTGTTGCATTGACTTCACAGTTTTACTAGCTCCGGGAGTTTGTTTAAAAAGATAATATTAGGTTGAAGATGTGGCTTGGGAGGCATAGTGCTTTGTCTGGCATGTACAGCTGCCAGTACTGCATAAAACCAGGCACGGTGACAAATCTCAGCACCCAAAAGGCAATGGCAGCAGGACCAGGAGTTCAAGGTTACCTTCAGCTTCATAGCAAGTTAAGTTTGAGGCCACTGCCCAAACAGAAACATCAGAAAAAACGTAAAAGCCAGCACATGTAGGAGGAGTCCTCCCTTTAGTTCTGTGTGTTTCAGGGATATTTAGGAATGTGGTCATGTCACTGTCTTGGGGGCTCCACAAAGCAGAGTTAAGATCTCACACCATGCTTTTACCTTCTCTGGGTGTCAGTTTCCCATCTGTATGGCAAGCACTGTGGCAAGGGGAGACACTGGGAAAGCTCTCTGTAAGCATCTCCTTTTGCAGATGGTAGAATTGACGTCCACAGGGGTAGTGTGTTGCTTGCAGTACCCATCAGGCAGTGGCAGAGCTTGAGTCTGAACCCAGGTTAGAGGATGTCAGGGCCACATCTTGTTTTTCTGGGTCCATGATAGTCTCCTACTATGCAGGATGAATTTTCTCAGTGTTTCAGGGAATTACCTTCCATCCCTAATGGATGCATTTTGGTGATTGAAAAACCAAACATTGGCTTCTGCAATAGAGAGTGTTGTAGTCTCTCCTTCCAGGGATTGGAATGACTGTCATTCTATAAAGATACCTCCATAGCAGATTCCCCAGGTATCCCACTACTCACAACCAGGAGATCAAGCTTGGAAATATTAGGACATCAATGTGATATGTCCATCTGCTGTCCATACATATATGAAAATGAATTTTTTCAATTAGAAATTCATCTTAGCTTGGTATGGTGGCACATGCTTATAATTTTTAAAAATGTGTATGCACACGGCTGTTTTGTTTGAATGCATGTCTGGTACCTGCAAAGATCAGAAGAGGGCGTTGGATACCCTGGACCTTGAATTACAGATAATTGTGAGCCACTCTGTGGGAGTGGAGAATTGAAACTGGATCTTCCAAATTTTATATTCCTTTAGAATGTAAAGCCATTTCTCCAGTCTTACATGCTTGTAGTCTTACGAATCAAGAGGTTGAGGCAGGAGGGTTAAGTTTGAGGGCAGACTAGGTTATATAGTGAGATTCTGTCTCACAACAACAGCAACAATAATGCAAAAGAAACTAGTGTAGGGTTGGCAATGCAGCCCAGGGATAGAGTGCTTACCTAGCATACATAAAGTCCAGGGTCTGATCCCTGATACAAAAAAAAATTAATCTAGAAATAAGTTCTTTTTCCTGAATGTGTTCTTTGCATCTTTGCAGATGTTATTCCTAAATTTGATAGCACATCTGCAGTACTGGGTTCATCCAGTTGCTCTACAGTGGGTCTTTCTAGCACACCTTGTCTTCGTCCTGCCTTCCTCTCCTTCGATTTAGCTTTAGAATTCCCCCTAAATAGCTGCTCCAGAAACTCTAAAAGTTACCTAATTAGTGATTACACTCTGCAAATGAAAAAGCATTTCCCAGCTAGTTGACTCAGTCAGTTAAGAGCAGGATGCTAATAATTAGGCCACAGCTGAAGGTCTGAGCTGGGGCGGGGGCAGGGTTAGTCTCAAGTGTAGGCATTTCATAAAGGGACGCGTGTAGCTGGGTCCCAAGCAAGCGGGGAGGGAATACGCAGATGTCTCAACGCAGCAACGGCAGGAGGAGGAAAACAACTGCTACTTAGTAACGTCCACCAGGAGAGCAGCTCCTTGTCAACAAAAGAGGAAGAAGAAAGGGAAGGGTGGGGAACACCAAGAAGGATACTAGACAGGCTCCTGCAGATGAAGGCAGGACAGGAGGAGGCAAGCCCTGAGGCGTGGCATGGCCGTTACTCAGGGCTCTTTCCAGCAGGCCGTGAAGCCACTGTCCTCACCTGCTCGCTGCGTCTCACGGTGCTGATGCACTGCTTTAATTTGGGAAGCCTTCCTCCTGAGAGGCTTGTCTCTTCTGGCTCTGAGTCTGAAGTGCTCCCGAGTGTGGCATTCCCGGTGACAGATGTACTACAGCTCTGCATTAGCTGACTCCAAACCCACAGCTTCCTGGCACCTGAGTGCTCTGTTTGATGTCCAGGAGCAGGCTTCCTTTGAGAGCAGGTATCTCATCCAAGAAGGTAAAAAGGTATAATCCTTTTGTTCTGAAACAACCCCTGTTAAAGTCTACACCTGCAGTGCACTCGAGGTGACTCTATCAGACGATCTAATCCTCGTTTGTCGATGTTAATAGATACCCTAGATAGACCCAGCCTGTGGAGAGGCATGTTGTCTGAGAGAGATGGAGTCCTTTCCCTTCTGAGCCCCCGGCCTGGCTTCTTCTGTTTTATAGATAGGCCCACTTCCTCACTATTCTCCATAAAAAGAAGGAATTTTGAAAGCATCTGAACATCTTTAAGGAGACAGAGTTCTCTGGCAAATCACCTGTCCACAGCCTTTGCTTCCTGCGGTAGTCTGAGTCTTCATGACTGAACCAAGCCTGTGACTAGAAGACCAGTCAGCTCCACGAGTGTCCATCCGAGACCATCCTGCATACCTGTTCCTCAAGGATGGGGCCCTGCCATTCTCCTCTGAATGCTAACCCTGCACCATCAGAGCCCATCGCTGTAGGAAGGTCGACATGCGGCTACAGGCTTGCTCACTGGCAGCGTGTGCCACCTGCCTTTGACCCAGCCCCACGGGTCACTGTGCCAGCACTGGGGGCTACTAACGGGAACATTCCATGTCAAACTCTCTCCTGCCCATTCCAAAAGAAGAAATTTACTTACGCCTGTAAAACAATTTACATTCTCTTGCTGCCTTGTTTAGATCAGAAAGAGATAATTTTGGCTAGAAGACTTTTTCTGCTCTTATATGCCTTATAACCGTTGTTCAGTTAGAAGTCCGAAAGCTCAATGCTGTTTGAAGTTGGTGTGTAAGGCTAAAGGGACTTTCTCATTTCGGATTGAGTACTTAGGATTTTGACCTGACAGTCTATTTTTCTCCTTAGAACGTAGGAAAGGAATCTGAAGTTGTTTTATTTCTCTGTCTATGTTTGGTTACTGTGTCTTTAGTATAAATATATGTCTTGTCTTACATTCTCTCTCAGACTCTAAGAGAGTATCCCGCCTTGTCCTTATTGATTACGCAGTTAACAATTATTTGAGACAAAGCATGAGCCAGCCTAACCTAGCAGCGAGAGTGTTGCAATAGTTATCAATAAATTCACCATCTCCCCTCTGAGTTTTGTGAAAGTTTTTAAAATTTCAGGGAACAATATAACCCTGTGATTTCATACAAATGGGTATATGTATGTTCGATAGATATGTTGCAGACAATTGATCCCTTAAATCCCCGAGTAAGCAGAAACGGTTGTGACAGTCAGTCAGTACCTTTCTTCTCACCGAGGAGAATTCAGGGCAGAAACAGCCATGCTTTCCTTTTCTCTCCCTCCTCTCCTAGGCCATCGGGGACTCTTGGATCCTGGTGCAAACCATCTCTTTCTAATGAGACAAGTGCCTGTAACTGAAGTGCAGTGAGTTGTTATTGGCAACATGTCCTTCTTAGTGCTAAGGCCCGAGTCTCAGGCCTCGTGGTTGTTAGGCTGCCTATTGGCAGCCCCGTTTTTGTGTTCTATTTTGAGACAGGGTCTCTAAGTTGTGCATGCTGGGCTGGGAGCCACTCTGTGACCCAGGCCAGGCTGATTCATCAGCCTTATTCCTCAGCTGCAGCAGTTGGGATGACAGGCCTACGCCACCAGACCCAGATTTGGGTTTCCTAAAGTGAGGATGATGTTGTTTTTCTATTGTCATCTAAATCTCTTCTGATTTGACTTAGCTTATAAATCATGATGTTTTAAAAATAGAAAAACACTTTTAAAAGATATCACCCGCCCTCCCACCCATAGAGAACTCCTATGGACATTTACACATAAAATAATGTATTTCTCTGTTTTTATGGTTGGATGACAAGTTAAAAGGAATCAGCAACATAGTTCACTAAGATCACGGGTACACAGATAGAAGATAGAATTGTAAGAGGTGATATATATATATATACATATATATGTGTGTGTGTGTTTGTGTGTGTGTATGTGTGTGTGTGTGTGTGTGTGTGTGTGTACTTGAGACAGGGTCTCTCACTAAGTTGTGCATGCTGGGTTTGAAGTCACTCTAGTTTACCTGGATTATCATTTTATACATATAATAAAGACATGTATATAATATGATATGTAGGATACATATGATATATGTATATCTTTATTATTAAGTATACATTTATAAAATGGCTCAAGGAAACAGATTATATAGTATAAACAGATTCTATATCATCCTATATTATATATTACATATAGAGAAATACTTTTATAGCAGTTTAATAGCTTCTCACAAGATATCCCCCAGGAATGAGTTTTAATAACATTTCTTTGACATCCTATGTACATATGTAAAACCAGTCCTAGCAGACATGCCTTCCCATCACTGAGTGGTAATCGATGAAGTGTTAGTACGAATGTATTGATCACACTCTTACAGAGATCATGGGAGAGTTTAACTCTGGAAAACTTTCTTTCCTCAGGGCATGAAGATTACTACACCATCTAAGACTAGGAAATCACCCTGGGATTATGTCTTTTCTGTTTACAATGGCTCCATAGACAGGACAGCCCCAGACTTTTTAGCCTTCAAGACACGTTTCAGATTAATCTGGGGGAGTATTTTGTCTTTCCTGGAACAAATTGAGAAATTTCTCAAGGACTATGCGATATCAGAAGCCAAAGTCAAAGGGAGGAGCCTGGTGTCCCTGCTCCCAGAGTTTGAGCTGAAGAACAAACTAACCAGAACTGATGTTCTGGCTGTGCTGGAGAACCCGGGCTATATCCAGATGCTGCTGAACCTTCCAGGACAGAGGTACAAGGGCCAAGATGGAAAGACAGAGGCCGCCATCAAGATCCAAGCCACGTGGAAAAGTTACAAGGCGAGAAGTACCTTCATTTCTTATCGCCAGAAGAAGTGGGCCTCAGGCGTGATCGCCCTGGCATGGCTCTTACATTGCCACAAGACAAGACTAAAGAGGATCGTGAAGGAATCTCGGCAGAGACACCTGGAGAACTTCCGCATTCGAGCCAAGGTACGCCGGGCTGCCAGCTGTTAAGGCAAGCCTCTTTTCCTAAATATTTCCTGCTCGAATAACTGCAGTTACCTGTTTCTTTGTCTTTCCTTCTCTCTGGCCACCCTCCCATCAGCAGCCTGCATCTACAACTCTCCTCAGTATAAGATACACAAACTCTGTTTGGGCAGAATATTTTAGCCTCAACCCGGAGCCTGGCCTGTATGCCTGCAAAGTCTGTTGCAGTTTCTCTATAAAGGAAAACACTCCTTGTTTTGACCATGGTAGTTGTGTTGGGAAGTCAGTGTTCTACTGCCTTACCTTTTCTATACACACACACACACACACACACCACGAGTGCACATACACACGCGCACACACCTTCTGACACTTTAATTTGGTAGGAGAAAACATCCTCACTTGTCTACGTTGCTGTCACCACTTTGTCAGAAAGTATTTAAGTTTGCAGACAGCCTTTTAATTAGTGCTCACAATTTCATTTATGTTTGCTTTCTCTTTTTTTCATTCATATTCTGTTAATTAAGTGAGCTGCCTCTAATCTTCCCCTGCCAGTAGCATCATGTAGCCACCTAATTAAATTAATTGGGGAAGATGTTTTAAGTATGTAATTAAATCAATTAATATAATTTATGCCTGGCTTAACTGTACAGTGGAAAAACAGCTGAAGTTTGACTAGATGGATCCACTACAGCTTCCTGTCACTGATCAATGCTCTCCTTGCTTTTCAGCATCTGGCAGCCAACTGGAGTCGCATCAGGACCTCCAGGAGGACTATTATCCATATACCATCATTAGGTATAACACTCTTGCCTGCAAATCTATCAGCAACCTCTATTACCCACCACATTATGGCTCCTTGATTGAGTTCAAGGAAGGCCCCTTGTTTTATTCAAATTGGTCTCGGCAGGAAAATGTTCTCGACATGATGAGAGTAATAACACAGGGCCCTCGCTCGAAACGGCGTTTAATTTGGGGATTAAGCAAATAAAGTCATTATGTGGGGGCTGCTATTCAGTGGAGAGGTGATTTGCTGTAATTCGCTTTCATCTGTATGAAATGAACTAAAAAGTTGTATTTTTCCCCCTGAAATAACAGATAATGTTTTCGATCTTCCTTAATGATAGAAGAACACAGGCTTGTGTGTGTTGTTGCTGTTACGCCAATAAGCCAGGATATTGCTTGTACACTGTTTTTAATCAAATGTGCAGTCAAAATGATAAGCTACATTCTCTGAAATTATTTAGTTCTAATTGCGAGCAGATGGGATGTTTTATTTGCACCTAGGGCGCCTGAGCAAAAGGAAATGCTGTGTGAACAGGAATAATTAAGAAGTTGAATAGTGTTTTCTGCGCTTAAATAATCTGCAGTTTCATGTTAATTAGCACTAATGTAATTATTTAATTACATTTATGAATTGGGGAACTTGAAAGCTGTTGTCTGAAACACAGTGGTAAAATAGGTATGCCAAAATGACATAGGGAAATTCAGAAATCTATGCTGGAAGTTTGTCTCAGACATGAGTTGCTGTCAGCGTTTGCACCGCTGGCCGCTTGCTTCGCTTTGCTTCTGCCTAGGCTGTTAAATTTCTTGAATGAGGCTGGATTTTTGTTTTATGCTGACTTAGCAGAGTTTTGACAAACAGCAAACCCCACTGAATTTCAATATTACCTGCTAGTGCTTTGTTAAGGCCTTTTAAGTAGAGTCATACAGCCAGTGAGCTATTGTAGTAAAATCCTAGGCTACGTCTCGTGCTCAAGCGCACAAACGCCTGTCTGCGTGCTCGTGTGTGGTAAAGAAACACGGCATCTAAACAGTAATATGAAAGAAAAATATCATAACTACTATATAACTGAGGCTAAGATTTTGTTTAAATTAGTAAAGTTTTGATAGTAAGAAAGTAAACAAAGCTCCCTAGATTACAGAGCGTACGCTTTGAGCTCAGGTCTTGGACCCATGCAAAGCCTCGGGTTTGGTCTTCTGTGCTTATAATTGAGTGAAGACAGGTCTGAGTTCCATCCTAACTTATGGTTTGGTTTTGGTGAGATTACTTCTGCACACAAAATCTGCTCATACACAGAAACTGCAGTCGTAATAGATTACCACCCGAGAGGCTAATTGAAGTCCCTATTAGCTGACATGGGGCCTTAGAATAAGGTACAAGAGCTTTGGCTTCTGCAGCTAACTGTACCCGCAGCCTGGTATTGTGCGGGGCTCTTGTTTTGCTTTCTCCTTGCGGCAGTGCTGATAAGCACTAGGTCTCTGTCCCCTCCTTTGCAGTGTTGGTAAGCATGAGGTTGTTTCGGTCACCCTTCCACAAGCTTCTCCTCCCACTTTTGTCCTCCCTCCCCCCAAAAACCTCCTAAACCAAGCATTCTACAGTGATAGCTGAGACAGTGAAGTCTCCAAAGAAGTAAGAAGTGAACCTGTATCAGCAGTGTAAGCAGGGCAGTGCCAGAAATTCTATGTAAGTGTCACACCAGTTCAAAGGGGCTGGCTGAATGTTAACTAATGGGAAGAATGACCTACCTGATCATAAACACTGAATTACAAAGCATAATTTTAAATTTATGATTAAAGCTATTTTCTTTCCTATTGTGCATATGTAGCGTAAATAAATACACGTATCAGTATGAGGCCTTACCCGTGGTGGGTTACTTTTGTTTGCAAACAACAGAAATATCAATTTTCAAGGAAAATTGATAATCGGGTACTTTTAAGAGCAGAGATCAAGCTCAGGTTGATTTCCAGTGAAACCTACATAGGGGCCGCTGCACCCACCCCGCCTCCCCAGAGGCCCGCTGCACCCACCCCACCTCCCCAGAGGCCCACTCCAGCTCTCCTGAAATGGCTCTGGGACGACCTTAAAGTCAGTTAATAACCTTACGCCATCTCCCCTACTGTACAGGCAGAATCTTAAAACATCTCTACCTCTCTCTCTTTTCTTTTTTAATAATATGGGGTACCTTTTTCTGGTTTACAACTTTCTTGTGGGAATGCACAAAGATTTCAGACAGACAGACAGGGCTTCTTTGTCTCATGGGCCAGGCACTCATTGCAACAGTTCATAAAAATGAAAGTGAAATTATTTTTTTTCTGAGTACTTTGAAAAAAACAAGTCAAAACAAAAATGATCACCCCATCCTATTCAATGTAGTTTCACTTCCGGAGCATAGGTAAATTCAGTTCACTACCCCAAACTAGCTATTCAGATTGTCAGGCTCAGGGGAACTCTCTGAGGACCTCACAGACTGTCCAGTTTCTCTCTCACGAACATTCATGTCCTAGAGGTAGTTACACTATGCTACCAGCCATTTGGGGATGTGCTCACTTACTTGACCTTAACATGCTGCTGTTTGTAACACGCTGCTGTCGGAGACGCTGGGCTCTTTGCTCTGGTTCTGCACCTACAGCAATAGATACATTCTCCAGATACAGAAAAGGCGGCCCGTTGGTAACATCTTTGCTGCAAAATATGATAATGTATTTTTAAATCTAAAGTTCGAAAATGATAAGATTATGACATTACATATTGCAGAGTAGCCACCTTGAAAAGAGGAGTTATAAGTTTGCTTGACTGCAAGTCAGATAGTATTCCTCGAAGTGACAAATATTTGTAACTATTTTTAACCTCCAGGAAAGGTGGAACGCAACTGACTAATTGTCCACAGAAACTGATTAGCCTTGTAATTTCCTAAGATAAAAACGTAGGCTGATCTCTTAATTGGATATTGCATATTTTCATCATTTTTATTAATGAAATATAATTATAACAAAATAATCTGCTATGATTCATAGCAAAAATAGAAAACTAGTTTCTATTTTAAGAATAATCTTATCAGTCAAAGAAGAAAGAACCTCAACAAAGAATCCCAATTTTTTTCTAGAAAAAAAAAAAATAGAGGTCTAAATAAAACCTGCCAACTAATTCTGCTTGCAGTTTCTCTAGTCAGGTTATTTTCTCCACTTTTAATTTATGCCCTTTGCTACGGTACATCAATCAGTGCTATTTCTAAATTCAGTGGCATTTAAAAAATATACTGACATGAAGTGGTCTGTGCCAAGTACTGGGCTCTGAGGTTTCAGCAGGAATCTGGGGTCACTGGAAGCCAGCCACCTCTCGGCAGTGTGCATTCACCTCTCGGCAGTGCGTCCAGCCACTCTCCCTCTCTAGAATGCAAATAGAAGACACACTGAAGTGGCCTTGCTTTGTCTTTTCCTCCATGTAATATTTTATCTCATTGCCAACTGGCCAATTGATTTAATGGCTAAAACAAATGTACATAGTTTTATTCCCCCCCCCAACATTAGTTCAGCAAACTATCCTTGGTTTTAACACAATTAGAAGTGTCCAAAAATACTCCACTCCATAAAAATTGTGAATACTGTTTTTGTAAAGTCCACGGACAACATTCTTCAGCTGGCCCACACTACTGCAAAAGCCCAAAGGACAAGATAGGAAAATACTGGTGTGCAGATGGCCATAGGGTCCCCCAAAGGCTGATGGGAAGGTTGCTTCCTAACTGCTTTATTGCTAATTGCTTTATTTCCCAACCCTGGAGCCGAAACCAGAGTCCCCAGTGAGGAAGGCAGGTGGACTAATCCTACCAAGGGCACAGACTGAGGGTCAGTCTGCACTGTGCCTCTCGGCACACTGGGGCCTCTCCACTTCCAGTTTTTAGTTCCCAACTCAAGAATTGGGTAGATTTTGTTCCTTATTGCTTGAGACAGGAAGTTGGAACTTTCCACTCAGTCTTGACTGGCTTCAACATGTTTTGACAAGAACTATGGTGTCCATAGGTAAGCTATGAAGATGCCACATTGGACCCTTAGGTCAGAAAGATGTACAGTCAAGATCTCCCTGATGGCCTTTCCTAGAGATAACCATCTTTTAAGATGAGACAAAGACCATGTGAGCATTTAGTTTCTTCATAGCACAAACTAAAATTAAAACGTATTTGTATTCTCCCAGGCTGTGTCCAAGAAAGCAACCCAAGTCAGCACTTACCCACAGGTTTGATCAGAGTTGGCCAAATGACTCCACAACAGGAAGATGACCAGTTGGTTGTGACTCTCTCAACACTGAACCGTAATACATAGAGATGGCACTGCAGTGGGTGCCAAGTGGCACAAGCTGACAGACTTTTCATTAAATGGATTAATATTAGGATTAACAGGATTAATAGGATTAGTAAACAAATGTACTACACTACGTAAAGATCTAACCTTTGACCCCCTTCACAATCGTCCTTAAAATACGGATGTTTGTTCAGTGGTTCTCAGACATTTTTGTCTCAGGACCCCTTTATACTCAAAATGATACTTGGAGACCCTGAAGAACTCTAAGTGAATTCTGGCTGTCATTAATCTGCTGTGTTTATTTGTAATACCAGCACTGAGGATGCTGAGGCAGGAGGGTTGAGAATGTGAAGTCAGATTAAGCTTCATAGCAAGATTCCGTCTCTGTCTGGGAGAGGGGGAGACAGAGAAAAAGGAGAAAGGGATGAAGGGAGAAAGGAAACTAAAACTAAGGAACTAAGAAATGAACCAATAAACACATTACAAGTGTTGACCTATATATAAGCAATAACTATTTTTCCAAAAAAAAAAAAAGCAAGTTTAGTTTGATAAGTTTGCAAATCTCTTAATAGAATATGTCTGGATTTTCGTGTTTCTGTATTCAGCCCGTAACCTATGTTGTTTAGTGGAAACACAGAAAATCCAACCCTATGGAGATTAAATATTTGGAAAGGGGAAGAATGCTTTATAGCCTTTCAAATAACTGTATGTATTCCCCTTTGACTCCGTACCAAGCTTAGCTGCGGTGATGCTACACGTTGGCTTTAACACGGAGCCTGTGTAC